TCCCCAGACTAGAACACTTTGCTCCTGGTTCCCACACTGACTTCTCATTTTGGTCTCCTGTCAAATAGGAGGCGCCTTCTTTGACAATGAGCCCAAAGTAGCCTGCTATCACTTTCCCTTTCATTACTGTTTCTTCTTCCCATTCCTTATCAGAGGCTTCCCTGTTTATGGTTAATCTCAAGGACTCAGCACGTCAGCACCAAAGAATAAGGATTTTTTTAAAAAAGAAGGAAAAAAAATAAGGTTTTGTCAAGGTCCCATTTTATTCCGTGTCTGGCATCTCCTACTTGGGAAATTTTACAAATTCAAAAACTTTCCCTGGCTGAGTTATTTCAAATTATGAATGAAGAACAAGAGCGTAATGAAAGGTTAATGCTATTTCTTTTATTTATATACATACGTATCTTTAAAAATGAGTCACTTTTCATTTTTTAATTATACAGATAATACATTTTCAATGTAGAAATTTGGAATACATATAAACAATGGTTTTACTTATATCCTACAGATTTTCACCTTTGATATACATATTTTGTTACAATAATTCCTGCTCCTCCAAAAAAAAACCTTCAAAAATAACAAAAACCAAACAGAAAAAATAAAGGTAGACTCGTCCTAACTGTATCACAGGTGCTAATTTACATTATATACAAATCTATGTGAATTAATTTCAACTTTTAAAATCTAAAATGATGCTTAGTAAAAATATAACACTAAAAGATTCCACTTTAAACAGCAGCAGTTTCAGAATAACCAAGAACTTGATTCAGGTGTGCTGTTGATAAAGAGCCAAGTATTATTTTTTTCATTAAAATAAGCAGCTTTTTAGTATTGTATTCTTTGAGAAAAATATTTTGCTGGTTCAGCCACCAACTCTTTGCATATATACATTTACATGTTAATAAACTCTTTATTCATTCTGATGTTCTTGAAAGTATTCATCAAACATAGAAGACGACTCATCTTCATGTTCCTGACACAAAGAAAACACAAAAGAGAAAGTACATTGGTCTCCCCTCAGTTAGACATAGTATGTGTTTACGTATTTTCCAGGTGATGCTGTGTAAGGAGCTAACACTCAGTGCCAGCTCCTGGTGCTGCACATGGGTAACAGTTAAGAGTAACAAAAGGCATGACTGAAAGAATATGTAAAGTGTTTGTATCTCATTAGAAGCATTTCTTCTTCTTTTTTTTAACCCTCACCTGAAGTCATTTTCACTGATTTAGAGAGGAGAGAAAGAGGAAGAAAGGTAGGGACGGAGGGAGGGGGAAAGACAGAGGAAGAGAGAGAGAAAGACAGAGAGAGAAACATCTATGCAAGAGAGAAACATTGATCAGTTGCCTCCCATATGCATACTGACAGGGAATTAAAACCTGCAACTCAGGTATGTGCCCTGACTGGGAATTAAATCCATGACCCTTCCATGCATGGGACCACATTCCAACACACGGAGTCACAGAAGCCAGGACTAGAAGCATTTCTTACACCAGTTCTCAGCTATCTTACTGTGCTAATACCCTACTGAAAAGTATCGTTAGTCTTTCTATTGACCTATGTGAGGGCAGCCCAAATGCAATTGGATTTTACCTCCTTTTTGCATCTATCCCAAGCTCTGAGTACTAAGAAACATAAATCAGTAATAGTGTCTCAATAAAAAAAATAGAGTAAAACTGATATTGCTCTTTGAGCTCAGGAGTCCATTTCAGGAATCACCCAGAGAAGCCCAGGTTACTGCCACCACTAAGATAAAAAATTAACTTGAGTTTCTGGATTACGCTGGAGATCAAGGAGTGCCGGCAAACATTTTTACTAAAACCCAATAAAGACCCTAAACCAGGAATTACCTTTGGTTCTTTAAATTCCAAGTCTTCTCCATACTGAATGGCAAAATCAATATGCTGTAATACAATGTTCATGCTTTCTTCATCTGACTGATCGTAAGGCAAAAATCGAACCATGCTGTAGTCGTCAATCTATAAGTTGGAGATTTCAGAAAGGCTCATTCTGAAACTGTGCAACATGCTTAATTTTCAACTTATATATTTGAGGTTTATAACCATTTATCATTTGATAGACAGAGACAAAACGGAAAATCAACATTCATTTTTCTGGTCTGACTTACCAGAACACTCAACTTACTACATAACTAGGTACTGTTTCATAGGCATTTATCTGAATTCAACAACCACTGGAAATTTCAACAGGGCACAGACAGTTCTGAATTCCCAAAATGGCTTGGGATAATGGACATGTCAGTTAATTTACTGGCTATCACCAATAACTGCTTCTAAATTAAACTGTGTGTGTGTGTGGGGGGGGGGAATGAAAAAAAAAAATTAAACTGCTGACTGGCCATCCCACAGCCTGTCACCACCACCTCCCTATTGCAAGCAAGTAGGATTGGATTGTGCTTTCCGTAATGTTGGCCACTGACTGGACATCGATGAATAACAAACAACAACAACAAAAATTTAACCAGCTTACCAGTCCACATACAGCTTTAGTCAATTTTTTGAATTTTTTGCTTCTTAAGTCACTTGTGGAATCATCTAATAAAGAATACATGTCTGGATCTAGAAACCTTTAAAAGTGAGAAAGAGAATGATGAATAAAAGGAAGAAGAAATCCAATTTACAGACAGACAGAACCTCACATGTAAATAAAGCTTAGAAAATTCATCGCTGCAATTGAGATCTGATTTTAGTGGAGGCCATGAACTCACTTCTCAATTTCCTTCTTAGCTTTCTTACTCAGCAGGTCCATTTTCGTCATGATGTTAACTTGTGGAATTTCTAGAGAGATCATAGCGCTCAGGGCCGCCAAGATGCCAGAAATAAACTGAAGAAGGAAACAGGAAAGGGAAGATAAATCTACCAGTGCCGACAAAGTTCCCTGGTTTCTGCATGAAAGAGCGGCTTCTGTGCCTCACTGGAGCAGAACTGGCCTCAATCAAAGAAACACTGATCCTAAAGAAAGGCCAGTCCACTAATCAGAGGGCTGACCCTTGGTTTCCGAAGGCGAGGAGAAAAAAGGTGTAGATTTAATCTGTGGTGGTCACAAATCTCAATTTAGACCATATCTTTAACCTTCTTTCCCATAAAAAATTCCTTAAGAGCTATTAATGAGAAATAAAGTTTTAGACAGTTCATAAACTAGACAAATAGCCCTCAGAAAATTAAAAATGCACATACATAATATGCATCTGCCTCATTTTTCTCAATAAGTAGTTCTCTATATAATATCATAATTTACCATCTGAAGTGAAAATACATTATTATTATAATTTTATAAGGCATACAAAGTAACTCTAGAGTATAGTTTGTGAAATGTCCGGAATCACACAATGATTAAAGGAGACTGTCATGTGCTTGCACCCATGACTGAAATATCAACAACAGATTTATCCTCAAACCTTAAAAGACTCCACCATAAACTGTGAATCGACGAGAAAAACTCCACAGACTCGGAACTCCCACTGTTCTAGCTGCTGGACCAGTTGTTTCATCACAGGCAGATGCGTATACAACTCGATCTGACCTACATGAAAAAAATTGCAAGACTATTACAATCAGAAAATATTAAAAAATACAAAAAAAATTTACCCATAAGATGGTTAAAAAAACCAAACAAACTGCCCTGCTGGAGTGGCACTGTGGTTGAGCATCGACCTATGAACCAGGAGGTCACGGTTCAATTCGCAGACAGGGCACATGCCCAGGTTGAGGGCTCAATCCCTAGCAGGGGCATGCAGGAGGCAGCTGATCAATGATTCTCTCTCATCATTGATGTTTCTCTCTCTTTCTCTCTCTCTCTTTTCCTTTCCCTTCCTCTCTGAAATCAATAAAAATATATTTTAAAAAATTAAAATTAAAAACAAACCAACAACAACAAAAAAGGAAGTCAAGCCCTGGTAGTAATATCTTCCATTTTAAGGAGTCTTCTAGCCTCTTGAAGCAATCACAAAATCATGAGGTTCATCATACTTTTCAGTTTTTGCCCATCAAAAGCAAGCGCTACAATTTTGTTAACCAGTGTCACCCAATAAATTCAATAAAAGGAAAAATAAAAAAGCGAGTGCTACAAAGGCATTGCAGTTTAGGAATATTCATCAAGCTGAACACTTACGACATCTGAACTTTTCTGTGGGTGTGTGTATGTTCAATTAAAAGCAAAGGGAAAAAGTGAGAGCCACATATGCTCAAAGCTCAGTTAAGCTCAAGTCTAAAATTCACAATTTGGTTTAATAAGTCATATGCGTTTCTCTCCCCCCTACCAGCCTCACTTCACAACATTTCCCTTTGTGCACTGTGTGCTTCAGCCACTACGGCCTTTTTGGTGCCTCACACCCACCTCCTTCCTTCCTGCCCGTAGGCCTACAACATGCTGTGACTTCTGCATGGACCTGTCTCCCTCACCTTCGGGCTATGGCCCAGCCTACAGGCCACTGGATCAAAGCCTCCGCTAACCTCCCTGCCGTGTGCTGGTCTATGCCAGCAGTCGCCAACCTTTCGGACCTCACGGACCACCGGTTGGTGACCGCTGCTCTATGCTATTCCCGTCACAAAGGAATATTAAGTAACATTTGGGTGATTTTTGTTTATACTGTCTAGCACCGCCACGTGACTGTGAGCTCCACCAGGGCAGAGACCATGGCTCCCTGGTTCTCTATGGTATTCTCAGTGTATGAAGTTAAGCACTCAGTAAACTCAATGAATGATTAGAGCCGATGAATAAGAGCTTTGTACCTTACTGCAATCTATATAATTCAGAATGACAAATGCTCACTGCACTTTCTCCTACTGAGGACAGAACCAGCATGACTTTGAGGAAAATGACACATTCAAATGGCTCACCCACCTGGACAGTCAAAAAGGATGTAGTCATCCTCTACATGGCCAAGACAGCTCTCTAGCCAGTCAAAATTATTGGCGAAGTACTCCATGCAAAACACCAATCCTCCATTGGGACCGAACCGCAGAGAATCATCCTCCATCACGTCATCCACCTCGATCAGTTCCCGGATGTCTGAAAAGGATAGGCAGGCCCCGGAATAGAAGCACATCCATTTGAGAACTGTCCTCCTCACAAGTGATAATTAACCATTACATAAAAACTCACACATATGAGATTATTTTCTGTACATGGTTATTCCCTATAGCAGTGTCTGTGGGAAGTAATTATTGTATAGCCAGACAACAGAATCCTATGCAGCCATAAAAAAGGAAAAGCTCTTTAAGTATTTGATTATGACCCAATCTCCTAGTTACACTGTTAAGTGAAAAGTGTAAGGTATAGAAGTCCATGTAAGAATCCATCATTTGGCCGAAACCGGTTTGGCTCAGTGGATAGAGCGTCGGCCTGCGGACTGAAGGGTCCCAGGTTCGATTCCGGTCAAGGGCATGTACCTGGGTTGCAGGCACATCCCTAGTGGGAGATGTGCCAGAGGCAGCTGATCGATGTTTCTCTCTCATCGATGTTTCTGACTCTCTATCTCTCTCCCTTCCTCTCTGTAAAAAATCAATAAAATATATTTAAAAAAAAAAAAAAAAAAAAGAACCCATCATTTGTGTTTAAAAAAAAAAAAAAAAAGACAAAGACTTACGATATGTACATAATAATATGCATCTTTGATTTTATATGCATAGATTCTCTATGGATAAACACACCCCAGAAAGTGGCAATACTGGCTGCCTCCTAGGAGGGCAGCCGACTGCTGGGACACAGAGCTGGGAGAGACATTTACTCTTTTGTACCTTTTGCATTTTGAACCATGTGAAGAATATACACTAAGTATCCTATAACCAGTAAACAAAACAAACCAACCAAGAAGACCAATTACTGTTTCTTAACACAATGAGCCCAAGGAAGCTACTTAACCTTCCTATGCCCCACTTTCCGTATTTACAGATGGGGTACAAATCATATATCCTAGTGTAGAAGGATGAGGACTATATGAGATAACACAGCTAAATCACCTATATCAGCAGCTCAAAGAATTCTGGTATATGCATGGTTCTCTTCTATTACTAATTTTTGGAAATCAGTATTTTTAACTATCTACAGTAGGTTTTTATTTTTGTGTTCCAACCTACAATCTCTGTTCCCAGAGAACTGTGCCTCACTCACAGCCCCATCTATGTGGGTAATATCTTCCCATGTACTTTCCCAGGGATAACATCTGACGCCAAGTTGGGACAACTATGACAGCTGCACTGCTGGTCCCTGCTTCTACTCTTGACCCTCTAGAGTCCATTTGTCATCTGAGAGCCAGTTATCTTTAAAAACATAAATCAGATGCCAGCCCTCTCCCCTGCTTAACACCCTCTAATGGCATTCCATCGCTGACAAGTGCTAGAGATTCAATACATGTGTCCTTCCAAAATTCATATGTTCAAAACCTAAAGCCCAAGGTGTTGATATTAGGAGTTGGGGACGTTAGGAGGTAATTAGGTCATGAGGGGTCTTATAAAAGAGGCCCCTAAGGAGGTCCCTCATCCCCTTATGTGAGGACACAGAGAGAAGTTGGCAGCCTACAGAATATAACTGGGTCTTCACCAGAATCTGACTGTGCGGGCACACTGATCTTGGACTTCCAGCCTCCAGAAGTGTGAGAAATACATTTCTATTTTTTGTAAGTCTCCACCTATGGCATTTTGTTATAGAGCCCAAACAGAATAGGAAAACAGTATAGTCCTGGCTGGTTTGGCTTAGTGGATAAAGCGTCGGCCTGCAGACTGAGGGATCCTGGGTTTGATTCCGGTCAAGGGCACGTGCCTCAGTTGCAGGCTTAACCCTGGCCCTGGTTGGGGTGCATGTGGGAGGCAACCAATCGATATATCTCTCTCATGTCAATGTTTCACTCTCTTTGTCTCTCCCCCTCCATTCCATTCTCTCTAAAAATCACTGGAAAAAATATCCTTGGGTGAGGAGTAACAACAAAAAAAGTGTTGAGCCGAAACCGGTTTGGCTCAGTGGATAGAGCGTCGGCCTGCGGACTGAAGGGTCCCAGGTTCGATTCCGGTCAAGGGCATGTGCCTGAGTTGCGGGCACATCCCCAGTAGGAGATGTGCTGGAGGCAGTTGATCGATGTTTCTCTCTCATCGATGTTTCTAACTCTCTATCTCTCTCTCTTCCTCTCTGTAAAAAATCAATAACATATATATTTTTTTAAAAAGTGTTGAAACAAATTCTGTTGGATCCACCAGATGAATTACAATTAATAAAAATAAGTTAAAAAAAACATACACAGGATAAAACCAAAATTTCTCCTCTCCTACTAGCTCCTACCCGCTTCTTTCTTTCAGTCAATATGCTCCAACTCATCAATACCTTTGATTTTTCTGGAATACATCAAACCCTTTCCCATCTCTAAGGCTACATATTGACCTTGATGTGCTCTCATTTTAGAAAGCCTTTCCCCAGCTTGATGAGCATTTTGCCATCTTTAGGTCTGGGCCCAAATATCCCCTCCTCCCGAGACACCATCCCTGACTACACTACCTAAAGCAATCTCCTCTAGCTATTCCCTCTAATCAGCCTACTGGCAGTCTTTATCACAATCTGTAGCATGCTGCTTATTGCTTATCTCCCTGACTAAAAGGTACATGAAAGTAGGATTCGTATGTCTTGTTCCACAGACACTTGAATAAATTAACCCTTTGCGGTCATTTGTCTACTCTCAGCCACCAAAGCTTTTTTACCGTTCCGGTCGTATGTCTGCTCTCAGCCACCACAGCAAGGAACCGTACGAATCTTAACTCTATTCATTCATGTATCAGTTCATAATTTCTCTGAAAGCTCTTAAGTGTCTAAGCGACCTTGTCACGAACCAAAACACTGCCTCGACAAATCAGAGATATCGAAACTCAATATAAACAAACGTGGTCGGTCCACACTCGCCATGCAAAACACCGTGGCAAGTCAGTCGCCTTTGGAGAGTGAAGAAATCGACAAGCTTCGGAGATACTTCGCAGAATTTCAAATAAAGCTTTACAAATTACGTTTAACTGATATTTAAAAAAAAAAAAAAAAACATTGAGGGGGCTCACTCAGAGTATGATCAGCAGTAAACCAGATTCACCATAGCAGCACTAAGCATGGAAAGTACAGAAGGGAAGGGTAGGGAGGAAGGCATCTACTTACTTGAATTTAGTACTAAGAGACGAAGAGAAAGGATACTGTTGAACATAAATGGATGTCAGCAAATGACATTCAGCCTCATACTGCTCACCATTTAACCAGGGGACCAGACTGTAGTAATAATATTTCAGCTTCTGTGCCGAGCAGCCAGCACTCCCAGCCTGCCCCTCACCCCCTTAATTTTCCTGAAGGAGGGGAAAGCTGTGCTCAGGACTCACCAGCCATTACGGAGTAGTTGAAGTGTTCTGCTGCAGGATCAAGGTTCACGACCTGGACAGACCGATTGAGGGCTTCACAGTGCTGGACCATGGTGGCGCAGTAAGTACTCTGTAATGTCACAGGGCTCAAGGGGTCAGAGCAACAGCAATGTAATGTTACCTCCTGCACCCCCAGAAGGACACTATGCCCTGGGCAGTGTCTGCTAGGGACAAAACCAGGCCTTCACCGATCCCTGGGAGCTAGACAGGGCCGGATGAGACAACACTGGGTTCCAGCCCGGCTGGTGTGGCTCAGTGGTTAAACATCGACCTATGAACCAGAAGGTCATGGTTTGATTCCTGGTTGGGGCACGTGGCCAGCTTGCAGGCTCCATCCCCAGTTGGGGGCGTGCAGGAGGCAGCCCATCCATGATTTTCTCTCTCATCATTGATGTTTCTGTCTCTCCCTCTCTGAAGTCAATAAAAATATATGTTAAAAAACTGGATTCCAGCTGCCACTTACTAGCTGTGGTCCTTTCCGTGTCTCGTTTCCCTGATCTGTACAGCCGGATTAATAGGGCTTATTTTAGAGAGTTGTTGTGGAAACAAATGAGGTCTTCAGCGCAGTATCTGGGGCTTAAGTATACAAATAAGTATTAGCCACTATCACTCCTCTCCTTTCAAAACAACAACGAACAGGGTACCGAAGCCCAGACTGCAGAAGGGAGCTGCCCAGGGTCTCAGGGTCCCCAATACAAACACCCGCCGGTCCCCTCCTCTGGACCCGAACCTCCCTGCCTCCCACGAGCTCCTACTCTCCCCTCCTTCTTCCGCCAAATCCTCACCTTCCCGCTGCCGGCGGGGCCCATGACCAGCTGTGCATACCGAGGCATGTCAGCTGCCCGAGATCCCCGAGCCGCCCGCCGCGCAGCACTCCCCAAAAGCGGCCGCCACACTCCCTTCAGCCTTCGCGCGACGCCCTCAGTTCCGGGAACGTAGGGTGCGAACCAATCACAACCCAAGTTCCGTTGACATGCCGCACCTCCGAGTACGGAGCATCCCGCAGGCCAAATCCCGTGCGAAACGCGTCCTAAGAAAACCCTGGGGAGGGAGGGATGTTGTGTGCGCACGCGCGGAGGTTGTTGGTCCAAACCCTTGGTGGTGAGGCTGGCGAAGCCTGGTTGCCTTGGTGATAACTGTTTACAGATAACGGCTAGCA